TGGTGTTTCTACTGCATTATGTTGAAGAAAACTGGTTTTATGTTGTTACAAGGATAATTCTTCAACCAAGAATTTTTTCTTAGAAAACCTTTTCTTGAAATGTATATTGTCTCTTGACACTGTTCAAATGTAATACATTAAGACTCCAATAATATTTTGCTTCATTTTTTTTCTGAGTGCTGAATAGATATCAAGTCTATTGGGTTGCCTTTCCTTTTATTCCAATTCTTTTCAAAMGGTCTACTAAAGGCTTTATCAATTCTTTTTTAGCAGTAATTTTTTGGGGACACTTACAAGGAAAATTTGTCATTTCCATTTCTGATGGCACAGGCAAATACTGCATGACTAATTCATGGCTTCTGTGGCTGTTGCCTCCTCCTTGGGATAAACAGATCAGTTAGAAATAGAGAATATGCTTGAAGAATATGGATTAGGAACACTGACAGCACAGTGAATTTCTGGCCAAATTTGCTGATGTTTTTTGCCTGTGTTGGAGAGTACCAGTTCAGTAGCCATGGATTAGTGGATTAGTAGTTGTATGCGTAACAATAAGATAWTTTTTTTTAATAACTGTGAACGCAAAGTGCTGAGAGACATATGGCTGGTGTTTCTTCTGAATTAGCATATACAATGCTTTCAGATATAGAAACCTCTTTTTTGGTGGTTGGGATATCATAAATGCCAAGATTGTCATTCATGTTGTGAAMTTTCAAGTATTCTAACATTTTTGAAAGCTGATTATATTGCTGTTGTGCCTGTAGTCCAGAAATAAGATATAGCCAGGCAAATTCCTGAGTTAACAGCTGTAAGAATTCCCATAATTTGGCTGGCATCAATTTTGCAGTTTATGTAGTATATTACACATTGCATTTGAATTCTTTCAGAACTGCCTTTATTGTCACTCCAGGATAAACAACATCATAGGTAGCTTGGAAAATGGCCGTTGCCTTGGGAATATTATAAATGAAGATAAAGGCTTGCAAAGAAAAAGATACACAATAAAATACCCGTTTTGCTTATGAACACATGTTAGGAATCTTGTTCAAGTTTGACTGATATGCTCTAAGAATGATTTATTTGCACTTAAGGCAAATRGTATTCATTTGTAGATCTCTGAATTATACTAACTGCATAAATGTATTAAGAAGCTACATTATATGAGTAAAGCTACCAAATCTTGAAACAGGCCCTGTCTCAGAGTTCTCCCTACATAAATGTACTCTATGAATCTTAACAAGAACAATATGGAAATCCTTCTCYCAGATCCTGCCCCTGTCTCTGTCTAGCTGACCTTGGTTTTCACCAGCTAAACTCTTAGGGAGTGGACTCTTGCAGCCAAGTGTCAGGCTACAAACAAGGTACTCTGGATGAAGTCTTATGCCAAAGTGAGATTGTGTGTATAACCATGGTCATGCTCAGCTATGCCATGATACCTGAGGATCCTTTGTGGTAATTTGTATAGAATACAAGTGATGTGTATACTAATATATTAGCTATGCTAATAGTCTGCATTTGCCTGCAGTGTATTTGATTTGGTTAAAAGAAAGTGCCAATCTCTGCCTATTACCTAAAAGAGAAAAATAATAATAATATATGCAAAATATGGAGTTCAGCCTTTCCCAGTGAAAAAGTAAACTGGATGATTAAGAATTACTTGTATCTATTTGAATTATATGAAGAATTTGGATGGTTTAATAATGCCTGTCTCTGTGAATCTTGACTGACATTGGTTGTCAGTCATGGCAACACTTGCTCGTCATAGAATGATGTTGAAGGTGTTCCTTTCAGCCCTCAAATATGCAGAAAACTCCTCAGAAAGCCATTAGTGAATATTGCAACTGAGGCAGTAGAGTCATTCTGCAGTGTGGGCTATAGAGGAGAATACTAGTACTTTTCAAACATTTTTTAGCTTTTTTTAACATTAATTTTTTCATGTGAAGAATTTTTCTTGTTCCTTTAATTCTCCCCTTGCACCAATAAAAATTGCTGACAAATGCAGTCTTATTTGTAGCCATTAATTTTCAGTTGTACAAAATCACCTCAACAGTTTTCCATCAAGTTTTTTGTCATTTAGAGGTAGCTTTTGTGTACTCTTTCACTAATCACAAAGGCTGCTTTAGATTTGACTGGACTTACTAGGTCAACAGACCTTGAATTGGAGAAGATAGTTTTATGGTCTACTGAGAAACCAGTTTTACATGGAAATGAAATAYAAGAACAAGGGTTGGAAAATGTTAAGGCTGTGGTACAACGTAAAACATACCTGTGTGAGCCAAGGACAGAATACTAGCCACTTTTAATTTCCTGACTTTTGTTAGCTTGTAATTCAGTGCTTTTATTTAAATGCTTTTGCCTGCATTTTTACAACTTATTTGGAGAGACATATTGGCCAGCTTCTCAGCTACTGTATGCTGACAACAGTTAATCATGTGTTCCTTTGTCTCTTCGTGAAACTCAAGATTCTTATGTTTATGTTGTCTTACTTTTCATGGTTTGTAGTATAATTAGGAGTGGCTGGCTTGGCTGTTTTTGATGCTTTGTACATATTAAGTTTCATTGCCCAGTAAATGGGAACGTAGACAGCATTTGCCAGCTCATTAACCTCTTTAAATTGGCTGCAGAATGGATGATTTCCTGTCACCATCACAGGTCACTGGATGCATTGCACTCTAATAGACTCTTTCTAGAATACTTGAAAAATCTTAAGCTGCCACAGCGTGCATTGATTGATTGATTGCTTGGCATGATTTTTCTAATTTATGCGGGGTTTTTGTGAGGGGCAAATCCAGATAAGCTAATATGTTAATGTTGTTGTGAAGTCAGAAAGGCAAATGTTGACTAAGAAAATCTCACTAGGTGATCCTGTTCCTCTGCAGAATKTCAATATTATATACACACACATCACATTTTCAGGACACTCAGTATAGGGTACGTTTGAACAAGGATGAAGCGCATATGACTGTGTGGTCTCAGTGGTGTACTTGACCACTAGTCAGCATCTGCACTAGATCTGTTTCTAGAAATTTAACAAGATCAGGAAGGGTGGCCTTTGATTCTCCAGGTTAAAAGTAGTGTCCTTCACAAAAGCCGTTAGGTATTTAGTTGACGAAATCCATAAACCATATTTGCTCAGTGGACTATGGCAGGGTTGACACCATCAGTCTTTCAAATGTTACACTCGTGGAGTCATGGAAATTTGTGTAGGCAAGTGATTTTGATGTTTAGCTGAGCATTTTCAATCAAGTAGAACACATCATGAGAAAGAGCTTAAAAATTAGRAGACACTGGTTTGTCTTAACTACAACTGGATACCTGAGTTTTCTTTTCTGAATACTTGCCATGTAAAAGAGCAGGCTTGGTGTTACCTTCTGTTGTTTTAGCGGCAGGTAGAGCTGGGTGATTCCAGACTGTCATGTCAAAACTTCTGAAGTCACTAAAGACTATTGCCAAAATACATCCCAACCAATCAGGAGTGTTGAGAGAGCTGCAGTGATTATACTTTCCTGTACATGTAGGCAGCACATTCATAGAACTTGTTTAAGTGGCCGAATACTAAGAGATGAATCATGAAGTTAGCAGACCACAAAGCYCTTTATATTATTTGCTACCTCCATCCAAGCTCTGTATAGTTGTCATGGAAAGACATGAGAAAGCTTTGTGACTGTCTTGCAGGTTCATTAATTATAGATGCTTTGGATTAATCACATAGGCTCATCACAGGGTGTAATTTAGGATTACAGAATGCATCAAGAGAAGTCAATCTGTATATCACACTRCAAATATATTCGATTATATGCATTAACCTAATAACCTTGTCACAATAGTAAGACTTCTGCTATCCAGGATTCTTGCTTAAAGGAACATCTTTGATTTGTTTGTGTCACTGAAAACCACAGTATAGATTACAGACTCAGAGCTATCTTTAAAATGTGCTTTTCAAGGTGCCTTGTGAAAAGAAACTTACTTGCTTTTACTGAATGTTATTTGTTTGTTTGAATGGAAGTGATTGGTTGACCAGGTTGATTGATCAGTGATTAATTAGTCACCTTAATTAATTAAGGTTAATTGATTTGATAAATGGGTGCTGAATATCTGTAGCTTTGGGTTGCAGTCACGATGCTTTCCACTRTTGGCATGTTATGAGAATTTTGCGCTGTGATTCCAAAGAATGTATAATTGGATACATGTTTTTTTCCTTGCCTTAACATATCTTCATCATAATGTTATATACTTCATATTGCATTTTTATTTACATCCCCATTCTGTTCTTAGTTGTCWCAACCAGGAACTCCTAGTTTTCAGTTATTAATGCAACGACTGGATTTAACTCTTCTGTCACATACTGTCCGTAATTATTGAAAGTAGATTTCTCTGTTGACCTCAATACTGGAACAAGTTTGTTTTTTCAGCTTTGGCTTGTAAGAGTTGAAGCTGGGTGTTCATGACACTTGTTAACCTCCACATTATAGTTAGTGTATCAGTATCATTTAAAAATTCTCAGACTGTGATTTGTTACCTTATTTTTAATATGAGATATCATATTACAGTTCACCTAATTTTATTTTATTTTCTTTGCGTTAATGCAGGGTTGGGAAGAAACKGTGGATGCTGCGGTCTCTTACTTGCTAAGAACTTGTTTGTCAAAGAGCTCCAAGGARCAGGCCCTGACTCTCAGCAGCCAGCTGTCCATGCCCAAAGATACCAGCAGGCTGAAGAAGAACATCACTGTCTTCTGTGACAGATTGGCCAAAGGCGGTCGCCTTTCATTAAGTACAGATTCGGCCACTCAGCAAGCTTCTGTCATGCCAGGTAAGACATGAAGCACATGTTCAGAATCCTAAATATTTATTTGCATATTAAAACAAAAAAATTGGCAYGTTTTATTTTCTCGGCAGTTTGTTTTTCATTGATTGTGGAAACCAAACACTGTTTGTGTTGCTGATAAATAAAATGACTTAAGTAATAAGATAATTTTAAATCTGAGGTTTTTGCTCATTTTATTCAACACTTACTGCTGCTCTTGCACACTATGCACAGTAGTGCAGCAAATGAAACCCAGATGGTCATTGATATCCTCTAAAATTCTTATCACTTATTTCTTTGTACTTTTGAATTGGATGTGTTAATTGGACATGTGTACGTCTCTAATGTGATGGAAAAAGGAGTGAAAAGTCCTGCTTTCTTGATAAAGAAAATAATGTATTTATATTTGTTGCTTTATGGCCTATCCATATGACAAATCATGAAGTAGTGACAGCGCTAAATAAAAAAATTGCAACTTTGGAAAGTACTAGTTGGCTGAGTGATATCTCACACAAAGCATGAAATTGAAGATGAAACTAATTTAAGTATGTGTTAAGTAATTTTTCCCATGTAGAAAAAGAGTATGGGCAAGATTTCGCAGTGCACAGTGATTTACATGAACATCGTGGAATTACCCTTTTTAAAGGCAATTTTATTCATGTCCTTTTCTATATTCCTACTTTTTAGTAATAGTGGTAGCAAAACCACTTTTTCTGTAGAGTCTGAAGTTTAGCATCTTGTACTGTTGCAAGACATTTTCTTCCTTCCTTTTTCCTCCAGCTATAKAGATAGTCTCTTAGTAAACATCAGATACTCCTGGTGACTTGGAAATCTTTCTGCTCTGWATTTGGATTGGCTGTTGATTCAGCTTCATACGCTCCTAAACTGTAGTATCACTATGGTCTTTGGCCTCAATGCCTTCCTTCCCCTACAACAGTCTTTACATCTCTATGGAAAAGTTTGTATTATATGTATACTTTGTGCTTAAAATTGGAAATTTATTGTTTTGGCTTCATGTATATTGTTTTTGATAAAGATTGGTGTTGTGTTAGGGCAGTATCTTTATTATCAGTATTTTGCTTTCTTRCGTTACAAAGAGTAATTAAATTCCTGTTAAATAGAATATGAATTGTCTGTGCAATGTTTCTGCAGCTCAGAAGTCCTTGTTATTATCGTGTGCAGCCCTCCTTTGTATGTGCTATTATAAATTATCTGGTAAAACAGCTGCAGACTATACAGTGGTAGAAATTCTATATGCATATATTATTTTACTTGAGCATTACACTCTTGCTGTATCTGGCGCCAGACTCATAACCATATGAARTAAGGAAGTGAGGCAGAGTAAGTGTCATACTGGCTTTACAAATTTTTGTATTTCTTTGCAAGTCTAAAGTGTCTGTGAAGGGCACCTCATTTGTTGAACTTTGATTACGTAACCATTGTTTTTCCTTCTGTCAATTTTGAAAAGGTGTAAATAGCTGCAGTTCAACTTTTTCCACCTAGGCTAATAAGGTGAATTGATTTAATAAGGAAATTCACTTCTTCCTATTCAGTTGACTAGTGTTATTGAGTTCAGGGCACTAAGCAATTAGATTATAATTCTGTTAGGAAATGTAAATATTGTAAACAAATTAGAAGAAATATTACTCTTGATAGACTTTGCATTTGCTCATTAACTGTTGAAAGAATGTAATTTTTGAAAGAGGTTGAAGATAAGAAATTTCATCTCAATTTAGAGGACAAGCTCATTAGAGAGAGATACTTCAGTCAAATGCTCAGAATAACATACTATTTAAGTAGTTGCSCTCCAGCAGGATGTGCTGTGTGATTTGAAACTGTGTGCATTTGTCTTTGAACAGACTGGTGAAAACTTGGAACTTCTTTTTGAGAATAAAGGTTTTACTGACACCTTTTAAACATGTTTGTCTTGTCACCTGTTCAGGTTTTCTCTGGCCATCTGTACCTTGGCAAGTAAGCTGGTCTGTTAGAAGCAGATCTGCAGGAGCATGAGGCCAGGCTGGCAGCATGRCTTGTAACATCTCTGTGTTTCAGAGCTCTGTGCCTGCACTGGTTCTCCCTTAGCAGTTGGAGTGCTCTAGGTACCTTCCTGGAATTCATCTGCCTGTTCCTTTGCTCAAGACTACTCCTCAGGGTGAAAACAGATTGTTAGTGGGGACAATCAGAAAATTTGACAGTTTTGTGCCTTTTCTGTCATCATATAAGAGTGATGCCCTTTATTCCCTTATAAAGGGAAACCAGTATACAAAATGACTGTGTCCTGTTGAGTCAAAAGATTATGCCAAGGAAACAAAGGAACKCATTCTCACAGCCCTTAAAGGAGAGAACTTGAATAAGTAGAGGAGAATAAGGTAGAACTATAAGCAGAGAGGGAGATTGAGAACTGTGTTTGTATCTGAGGATTTTTGATTAAATACTGGATGGTAATGTAGGGGAAAGTTCTTCAGGATGTTTAAGCTTCAAGCAAAGCCAAAGATGGTCCMATAATTGTTCAGTAGGGTAACTGTCATTAGCTTGAGGATTTTGTTCAGTGCCACTTTTTCTTAAATCTATTCTTTTTCTTAATGATGAAAATCCCTTTTACCATGGCAACCAGTTTTAAAAATTTCTTTTAAAGTGACTGGGWCCCTTCTTGCTTTGCAGCACTGTAACAGTAGGCTCAATTTCTAGAACTTAYATTTAATATGTTCAAGATGGTGTAGCCTGAAATCTAGAGAAATTGCCTGAAGCCGCACTGAAAAGCTGATGATTATCTTGAAGTGTGCAACTATTTGAAAGATGCCTTCAAAAGTAGTTGTCAGTATTTGTAGTTAATCCAAGAGTATGGATAGAGGTAGATTGTGGTCTCTGCTGGGTCTGGTTTTGTTCAATATTTTCTTTAATAGCTTCAGTGGTGGAATATGGGCATGAATGTTAAAACTGTGGTTTTGCAACAAGCTTGCAGTAATTTCAGGCATATTKAAAGAGCAATAATGCTGATCTTGATAAATTAGAGGAAGGATCTAAAGTTATTAAGATGATTTTCAGTTGAGACAAGCGCCAAGGACTTTAGCAAGCAAGAATCTAACAAACTAAACTTTGAGAAATAATTCCATAAGCATTGTTGCCATAGGATAGGCCCATGGGTGTTATATTTGACCAGCAACTGGATAAGACCAATGTGTTCCCATTAAAGGTGAATTCCAACTTTGGGTTGTACTCATATGASTTTTAATGAGGAGATAGGATTATTTCTTTCTATTCTTCATGAGCAGGATCCACAGGGGAGCACAATTTAAGGAAAACGTAGACAAATAAAATATTCAGTTTTTTCTTCTGAGGGAAAAATGAAGAGACATTTCAGAAGGGACATGATAGTTTTTCTGCATGTAGGATGTTCTTATATGGGTGATTAAAATTGAATCAGAATCATTGGCTAAATATGATTATAACTGTAAACGACATCAGGTTGTATCATGTACTGTGTTGCCTTTGGCAATGCGTAAATGGCTGAATGAAAGAAATSGTGAGGGGTTAAGGGAGTGGTGCCAACCCAAAGTGTGGGTCAGTGCCAGGGAAGTGCTTGGAAAGGTGCTGTAGGCCACCCACGTTGTCATGTATTGAGTTTAATGGGTGTGAGAATTTATAGCATAAATCTGATGACCTGCAGTGAGTTAATTCTGTAGCTTTTAATGGTCTCTTATAATTTCTGTATGTTTTGCAGGATTGCTTTTAAAACTTTGATGAGTATTAACTGCCTTATTGAAGACTTGTTTAGATGTCAAGTCTGATGGCAGCTCTGCTTAAAATGTTGCTTCACCTGTATTTTGGGAAGCTTGGTTACTCTTCAGCTAGAATGTGATCCTGCTTTTCCTGTAAGAGTTCCTGGTGTGATGTGTGAAAGGCACCTGTATGAGTTCAAGGCTTTGTTCAAGCAAGGATTTTTAAATTTAAATTAGGATTTGTTTTTCTTTAAACCGTCCTTTTTCTTCTGCCTTGTTTTTTAATTCGACTTCAGAATTTTCTTTGCTTCATTAGGAGATCATTGTACTGTGTTTTAGCATGATTTACTTCTCTAGTTGAATTTAACTGGAGCAGTAGAGAAAGTATTATTTAACCAGGAAATCATTTACTTTCCATCACTGAAATCTGTGCAATGCCAAAGACTGTCATCTGCTCAGGTGGCAGATCTTTAKAACTGAAATTGTAAGGGAAAGGAGGATTGTTTTGCATCCAGGAAATAGAACTTAAAAATAGTTTTGTGTAAGTGTAATAMTTAAAATTTATATGAAGTTAGAACTAGAAGTCAAGATGACTTCCCAYCTAGTTTTCCCCTTTCTGTTGCAGTGGGGTCAATGAATCCAGAAGAGCAGTGACAAGGTTTATCTGAMCTCTTAAACACCTTGAACAATATCTCTTGATAACTTTTATAGTAGCCTAGTGTCTTTGTTGGAAGGTTTTCCTAATGTTTGGTATTAAAAAAAATAGATAAAACACTCTGCAAATCAGAGTGTTTTATTTGGAATATTGAAAGTGGAGTCAGCAATTAATGATGTTCTTTAATTGTTTAAGACTTTATAATATTTCTAGTACATTCCTTCAGTAACTTTTCTTTTATACTAATTGTGACTAAATCATTGCAGTTTTTTATGATGGTTTTCAGTGTTACTCTGTTTTCCAAAATGGAATGCTTTTCTTTTAGTCTGTACAGGGAGTGTGTCATACTGTACTCTGCCCTATCTCARTTTCAATTTTCTGCAAATTTGTTGCCTAACCAGATGTTTCCCATTCTATATTTATACAGAACCAGCATGGTGGTGTTTACTTGACTGGATACTTTGTTTTCATATTTTTTAAATTTACACAGTTTTTTAATTTATCAAGTTGATTATAATTCTACTTTGTATAATTGTGTTTCTATAATTTAGATTATGAATGGGTAAATGCAAACTTTTTAGACAGTGCTCTTTACCACATTAAGTGCTATATATGGATCCAAATCTATATTA